TAACTGCTTTCATGTTAGAATATGGCTTAACAAAATAATTACTTTTTTTTTATTTATGTGATAAAAATACGAAAATTCAAGACATAGTAAAGTGTCATTTAAAAGTATATTAAAACTTAATATAAAATTTTCTCTGTGCACTTACAACGGTTCAATTTCCGTAATACTTGCGGAAGCGTATATATTTTCCGTTTGCATAATTAATTGCATACCTCGATCGCCTCACGTTCGATTACGTGAATCGAAAACGTGCGAATCGCGTTACAAAATAACTTTACAAATACAAACGCCATTGAAATGCCATGAAATAAAATTTATGTTCTAAAATAAGAAGTAACTCGTACGAAAGGTACAACGGGTCGTTTCAATTATATCCGACGGGATCGTGAAAGTTTTACGAGTAAATGTCTCGTTGTTCACGATGCGATAAAAGAGTAGAGAGAAAAAGAGGAAACTTTCTAACAGAACATTAGCACTTTTTTATTGGTTAGCAGTTTTTACGGTTAGATGGAAAATAACAATAACAATTTTTCGATAAGGATCAAAATTGCATCGTTATTTTCTCCACCGACAGTTATAAAAGACTTTAAGAGTGAGATCATTATGTCAACGTAAACTGGAGGACGAAGATTAATCTTAAACGGTGTAATCTGTAAAATAAAACTCCTTGGAGACTAATAAGATTAGCTCAGATAACCAACTGAGTTTGCAGTAATTATTAGAAAGGTATATAATAAATAGCACACAAATTATAGGGGAGACCGGGATCAGTTGACTATAGGAGTAAGTAGAATAATCTACAGGCTACATTAAAAACAAAACACGCGAGACACGCGTAAATGTGTCTAAGCACGCAGCAGCGACTGCCGCTATAAGTCTGCTGTAATATCTTGTTGTGAACACATCTATGATAGAAGTTATGCCATAATTTAAAAAAATCGTACACCTAAATATTTTTATTCTTAAAGTTTTTGTTTTACAATCGTATATGATTGTCTCTGAGATATTTGATTTTTACTTAGATAGTAGATAAGTGTAGTTCTTACTTAATAAAGTCCAACAGATTTTTTTTTGTTTATGTGTTTTTATTATCGTATATTGTTAATATTTTTAAAAAATGAACGGATGGAGATAGTAGATTAACCACAGCATGGAACTGTATGACTCATTTAGTGACGACTTTTATAACACTTACACAAAATTTTATTCCTTTAAAGAGATTTTCTTCAGTGGTAAATGTTATAAGTTTAGTTCCCTCATGTTCAATCTCGAAAACTAGGCTCATTCGACGTGTATTTGCACGAAATGAACAAATTTTCCAAAAAGAAGCATTGTTTTGCCCTGCGAAGCGAATGTTTGTGTTTAAAATATATTTTTATAAAAGTTTTATTAATATAGGTATGTAGTCAAAGATGTGTGTAGCTTAAAATACATTAATCTTTATTTTAATAATCTTAGTCGAATTACCCCGGTTCCGAGACTAGTTAAATCAGATGGAATGTAATAAAAAAATGCATTTTTGTTCATATTAGTTATTAGTTTCCCCTTATTATTAAAATATTGTTAGGTCAAATGTATGTAACTGTAGAATTCATTTTTTCGATAAGTCTCTTAATTTCGTCTGTAAAAATTCGAAACTGAAAAATGAATCTATAAACCTCGGTTTTCCTCTACTTATAATACCTTCCCATTACGCAAAATGTAAATGTCATTACATGATACTACACATGAGTTATTAAACGATCCGGTATATCTCATATCACAAATAATATTAATCACTTTATGTCTATATTGATAGCAATATAACATCTACATCAATGTTAAAATAACACATTGCGTCAATAATATTATTTATGTATTTTGAACTGTTTTAATATAATTAGGAGTATATAATCTGAAAAAGACGAAAATATAAAAATCTTGAGAATACTGATTCTTAATTCTCCAACCCAAATTAATAATCATCCTTAAGATTTAAGTTTCGAAATTTTTTTATTTTTTTGTCTTTGTTGACTGGCATACAAATAATTACCGATAAGACTACGCAAAAGTGAAGTCTGTAGTATCTCAAAATTGCCGTAAAAGTATTTATTTCTTTGTAATATTATAATAAATTTCTGTTGATAAAAATTAAGCTAACAATTCATGTTCCACATTTTTCGTTCCGCAAGCTATTAGAAATAAAAAATTCTTCCTAAATTTAACTTAGAAGCAAATAGATAATCAATCACTTTCCCTCATTCAGTTTAAGCGAAGTTATTTTACGCATGAGAAATACGATATCTTAAATTACGGCATAAATAAATGAATTATGATTTATGAGATACGACGTTAAGAAAAATGGGATTGGGCTGTACCTGAACTGTATCTATATGCAAACGGCTTTTCCGAACTTACGATATAAATTAATCATAGCTATAATACTATAATATTTACCTTTAATAAAATAGATGGGAATAAAAATTAGCTGATGGTATAAATTTAGAGAGGTATTAAATTAAATACACGCGAAGAAGTAAAACGAATATGTTAATGACACACATTTTGTTAATAATAATTATTAATAACAATAACAATCTAAATTGTTACATATTGGATGTTTTTCATTTGGTGAACACAAATCGAAACAATCCGATAAAACAACTGACAGTATTTGTCATCATTTTGCTCATCCGTCAAATGATATTAATGTTAAAATTACGTTTTTAACTTCATTTAATATGTCATTCATTAATATCAAAATAAACGGCAAATAATGTCAGCTTGTTTGCTGGAAAGTATCATTCCGTCTTTGCTACCTATGGAATGCCAAGGGAGACAGAATGACTTATATCACTAGACGGAGAAAGCACCTTACGTCTTTACATTTCTGTAATACGTAACGGAAACCGCATTTGTTGGATCTTTATTACGAGTTGAGAATTATTGGTAAAAAAACAGTATCTTGCGAGAAGTCGTCTTTGCATATTTCATCTTATATCTCTAACGTTTTAATTCAACCAACTTTGGCGATAGATACTGCCGGTCTATTTCACCGTCGACTACTAAGCTTTTAGCGTCACACAAAAAGACCTTATATTGAATTTACCGACAAATAAGATAAAAATATTATGCAATTACGGTAAAACCGCCCAGATTCGATAATTTCATATTAATCAGTGTGTGAGATAACAATATCATAAATTAATATAATAACAAAGCATTTTAAACACAAAAAGTCCTTATTAAATTTATTGACAAATAAAGTAAAAATAACATGCAATTATAGAAAAACTGTTCAGATTCAATAGCTTCATGTTAATCAGAATGTAAAATAATGAATGTAAATTAAAATATTAAAATTAATGTTTTTTGGCTCCTAGCTCTTCTTTTAATTATATTGTTTTTTAAAATAATGATATAAATTAAATACAAATTTCAAACGTTCACTTATTTTATTCAAATCGTTTACTTATTTTATTTGTTTTTTTACCATAAAACGTCTGCAAACTCTAAAGGTTTGAAATATATAAATTGAATTTGAGGATTGATTTACAACGTTAAGTGTCGACATTTAGATAAAGCTAAACATTCCCCTTTGACATTTTGGTAGCAAAGATCGACTCTACAATTCATATATATTAGGGCAATATGTATTCCGGAATATTCTGGTAAACGCTGATTTATTTGTAATGTGTCGTGACCAACATTGCGTCGTTCATGTCCCTCATAGTCACATTATTCAGCTGTTTTTTACATAAGACTCTGAGTAACAACGTAACTTTTCTTCTAAGGCGAAAATATAAAAAGAGAACATTTATATTATTGAGCCGGTTTCAAACATTTTAATTTTCTGCTAATTATAATTTATTTATGTAAAATATAATACTTTAAATTAATAATTAAGTAAAAATTTTAATTAAAATAATTTATGTGGAAATCATATCCATGCGATAAGAGTAATATATATTACAGCGTTCTTTACAGCCGCCAGATTTAATTTTCTAATAGACAATTCTAAAATTTAATCGGTCGATTAAGTTAATCGGAGTTGGTGAGACTAGCCCTGAAGGTAATATGAAAAGAAATTTTTCACTTTTTACATTTTCGCCCTAGGGAGGAAGTTACATGATCGCTACCTTGATTGATATTATTCGAATGATTATGTCATTCTTCCGTATCACTTGCGAAATTTCAAAGTATTTTATCGATTGTATCAATTTAATCAAATATCTAGGACGTAACGCTGATTCGCACGTTTATTTGTGTATAACTGACTTGGTGACATGTTTTTGATTTGTCAATTTTTGTCTAATTAAAGAATGTTTAAAGCGAATGTTTCCAAAACAAAGTTAAAAAAGAGGAAGGAAAAGTTTCCTGATTTACGGAAATTGATTTAAATGAAGCATATTTGAATTTAAATATCTCATCTACAAATATTTTATGCCTGTCTGAACGCTACGATTACATGAGGAAAATGCGGTTTGGCAGGTAAATCAGAACTATTCGGATCTTGCAAGTTGGACATCCATGGCATCCAGTTCAGAAGTGTATTACAGTTAGGAACATATTTGAAGACCATATTGAAGATATACGACATTCAAGCGCAGTATGAAAATATTGTATTTCTATATAGAAGATAAATTCAATTTCGACAAATATATATGATATATTCTTTATCGCGCATAGACAGAAGCTGTTCATAATCGCGCTCTGAAGAGCAAATAAATGCCCGCTTCAAAGAAATTCTATGCTAAGTTATATAAGCATAATCATTTATGAAAGAAAAAGAGGGTGAACTTTAAAAGCGTAGTCCATCATTGTGGAAACACCGGCACTTCAGCGCTGCGCTTTATCTACACTCAGATTTGCATTCGCGCGTTCGCGATTTATTTGACAAGTTGTTTGACTAAATCCCGTCGCGACGCAATAATGTAGTATCACTGTAAAGGACATTTTACACTCTGTTACGTTAATACCGACGTTAATACGATCGATGATTCGGCTAATAATTTATCCACCCTAATTCCGTCAGTCAATGAATCCACGATACTGGATGGATCCACGATAAAATATCGCGTGTAACTAGAAACGGATCGCAATTAAATCGTTTTCACATTTAATTGTGTTAACTGCGCACGAGTGATGATTTGCAGTGAGATATTATGACACAATAAGATCGAATAAACATGAATCTCGCTGTGATGATTATCATTTGGCTTGTATCGGCGACGCCGCGTTTATGTGATGCGCTCGACGAGGATGCGGTCGATTATTATTCGTTCGCGGACAATGATGGCAACTTCGAGTACACCAACGTCACGAATTGCACCAACGATTACTGCATCCCGGACGAGGATTACATCGAACTTATGGTGCAGCACATATTTCCGAAATTCACTGACTGGGTGCTGATTGCAATGCACAGCGTCGTCTTCATAATCGGTCTAATTGGCAACGCACTTGTCTGCATGGCCGTCTATCGCAATCACTCGATGCGTACCGTGACCAATTATTTCATCGTCAATTTGGCGGTGGCCGATCTTCTCGTCTTGCTGATCTGCCTCCCACCGTCGGTTCTCTGGGACGTCACGGAGACCTGGTTCCTCGGATTAAAACTCTGCAAGGCCGTGCCGTATCTTCAGGTAAGCGTTTTCACCCGATCACCCGATTAAGAATTATCGAAACATTTCCACATCTTGATTGTCTAATTGATAGAATCGATTTCCAAGGCAAAATGATTATAAGGTTTGTTTTTACAATATATGGTTACCTAAAGATTAAAGTTACCCACAGATTTATCAATGAAATTCATGAACTTCTTGGTTAATATTAATCTTTATAGGTAACCATATATTGTGAAATCGGATCTAAGAGAGTTTAAAAATGTCGAAGAGAATTTCAAAATGTTAATTGAGAATTTCAAAATGTTGATTTTATATTCATTGTACACGCGAGAAAATCTTACGATTTGTTATCTTTCTTATTTCAAAATTTATACAGGGTCTCCCAAACTTTTTGACACACCGCTTGTAAGCAGATCGATCGGACTGAGTCCTTGAAAAGTCTTTATTATTTTGCCATTTTTGTAATAAGATATTAATTTTTATAAATTGCTGAATAAGCGGATAAAATCAGTGTACAAGATAGCTTTAAAATATCTTTCAGAGTTCCGTATAAAATATCGTAAAGACGTTTTTTAAAAATATCTTAAAGTTATTTATGCATCGATTTTTTACATATTCTGCTTATTAGGTAGTTAAAAAAAGACTGTGAAAATTGTAAAATGATAAAAGATTTTTCGACTCAATTAAGTCTGTGCTATCTGCTCACAAGCGATGTGTCAAAAAGTTTGGGATACCCTACATATTAAATGATACGGAAGTCTCATTGTTTCTCATAATCTTAATTAAGTTTCGTAATTTGACCCAGTTTAAGGTATCCATTTTCGAGGAAATTTTTGGCAATAGATTCTTGTATGACCTATTACTTAGCCTACAGTTTTGGATTTCCTATACACTGCAGAGCAGGGTTCGGTAAAATAACTGATGCGACTTATTTAAAATATAAAATATAAAATAAGTTCTAGAAACTTATTTAAAATATAAAATCGTAGGAGTTGGTAAAATCACTGATACGACATATTTGAAATAAACAATATAAAATAAGTTCCAAAAACTTATTAAAAATATTAAAATAGGTCACAAGAAATTATTTAAAATATAAAATAAGAAATTGGGCGAAAATACATGTATTTATTTAAAATATAGAATAACTTTTATATTTAAAATATAAAAATAACTTGTGTCTTTTATTTTAAATAAGTTTTCGAAGGCTATTTCTTATTTTAAATAAAAAATAGATTTTGGAAACTTACTTAAAATATAAAGTAACAAATATGTATTTTAAATAAACGTTTCAAATAATGTTTAAATAAAAAATATTTTAATTATTTTGTTTATTTGAATATACGAATGCATTTCTAAATATAATGTTTCAGTTTTTTTATAGCTATAGCTTATAATTGATACTTAATAATATCAACCTTTCGCGAACCAGGTAGAAAATCAACATGGATCATATGGGTGTATCTCATACCCCACACGTGCAATACTTCATCATAAATATACTATAATTTAATTACTCACTGTCACGTGTACCGACGGATTGGTAACACATAACTGATACAATTTATTTAAAATAAAAAATATAAGATAGGTTCCAGAAAATTATTTAAAATTCACACTCGATAAAAAACTGATACAAATCATTTAAAATAAAAAATATAAAATAAGTTCCAAAAACTTATTTAAAATATTAAATAAGAAATAGGTCAAAAGAAGTTATTTTAAATAATAAATACTGAATAACTATTTACTTTTTTTTCTATTAAAAATGTATATTTTAAATAAATTTTTATTTGAAATAAGACCGAGCCCTGCTGCAGAGTTATTTGAATAAACGAAATTATTGAAACATTCTCGTTTAATCAAACGTCAAAATCCAAAATCGTTTTTCTGTATTACGCTATATGATACTTTGTTAAATAAATTTTATGCCAATTTTTTATTACTAGATGGACATTGCGATTGGCAATTTAAATAATTACCATGTTACGATGCATTTAATGACATTACAATTATACATACTATAATTATCTCCTTTCTTAAATTTTGATTTATCTCTTTTTATCTAAAAAGGGATCGTATTCGACGAAGTGAAGATAAATTTTTTTTTATTTTAAAAAATTTGTTCCAAAAACTTTTGAAAAGGACGATAAAAGATTTCTTCAAATTATAAGCATATGGAAGCTTCCTCCTGGAATACTTCCTTATGGAAGTAGAAACGATAAAAGCCTAAACGAAAAACTTCATGAATCTCGATATTTCTCGAATGTACGTCCGTCCAGGAACTTACGATGTAATCTCAGTCTCTATATCATCCGATTTAATATCCCCCAAAGTATACATTCCGGCAGTAAGGATTCGCGGTGCACGTGATGAAACTGGCAAAAACCGACTGGAGATAGTCCGACGCATTTTCCGTTAGACGCGGTTTCCCCGAGAGCGGCTTTTTAGAAAACATCCCGATATTCCCAAACCGTCTTGGAATTCGCAATTGCCGCGACACGGAAGTCAGGCGGAATATATTTTGCGAGATTAGCTTCTGTGCGTCTCATTCTATTTTTACATGATTCCACCCCATCGATTGCTGCACTTGTCACAGTGTCGAAAAATAAAATTAAAAATCTTGAAACACAACTATTGGTATTCACCACATCAGATATTTTAAGTAGAAGTTTTGATTTTATCTTTCAACGTTGTAATATAATTTTAAATTCAAATAATTTATCGCCTTTTCACATATTTGTGAAACTGATATTTGAAGCATCATATTTTATAATTTAACGATCACTTTATTAATCTTACAAAATAACATTGAGCACGATAACCGACAAACAGTTTTAAGCTTCAAACCATGGCTTATGCATAATTTTTTCATTCTCCTTTTTGTATGTACTCGATCGCATATATAAAAGATTTATTTTTAGAAACTTTCTCTTGCTTTTTCTGAAAATACAAATATATGAAAATGTGTTTCCCATATGTGTCATGCAAAGCATTACGCGTATAAGAGCCAAGTCGCGTTTCTGAAAGTTCGTTTTTACACCGAGAATACATATATTCAGGTACCTATACCGAGACTAATTAATTTCAATTTGCATTTCATTAACATTTCAATTTTTTTTACGAAATTATAGTTAATAGCAAAAACCAATTACGTATGTTGTATGCATATACATATGTAATTTGCATCATATTTAAATAAACAACGCAAAATTCAATCACAACATCTGACAGGAGTAAAGAGTCTTTTTCCTTACTTATGAAAACAAATATTGTAAATGCTATTCTATGTTTCTAATAATTTCTTAAAAATAATAAAATAGCTGATGTATAAAACATGAGTAAAATAAATTAACTGTTCAGATTCAGAAATGTTTTATATAAAATAGGCAGCGTTGCTGCATTTTGAATAATTAACAGTCTGGATAATCGATATTTTATTACGTTTGTCCTCTACAAGTTAAATGAGTAGACATAAACAATGCAAAATTGCATTTAATCTATCATATAATATCGTACATGTATATGAAGTATATTTATGGAGGCGAACTTTATTTTCTACTAGCACGCAATGTGCTGATGAATCAGTTCGTGTAACAAAAATTCTCTTTTCTAAGTCATATTTAACTCAATTATCAATTACATTACTTTGCCGAAATTAAGCTTTTCAACAGGCTACGCTATTGTTAATTTGAGTGCAGAATTAATTCTGTTTGCTAATGCTTTGCAGCTGTTAATGAGAGAATCTTCGCAGAAAATTGATCATGCATTTCATTTAAATCCAACGACCTATTAGCTTATCATCGGGAATATTTTGTGTTTTAGAGCGCATTTATTATTCCGAGCATTAATAATTCACTACAAAATATAATCCGTTAACTAAAATCTCTGACTTATTGTAAATTGAACTGATGAATAAATAAATAGTTTCATTACGTATGCGAACATATAACATCAAAAATGAATTTACGACACGAAAAAATTAAAAAGTTCATACAAACATTGATCTAACCTTGTTTTAAAATTATAGAAGTTTTCGTGTTCCATTTTCATTATAAACTAAGATAGCGTAGCTTCCTCATTTCGGTTGTTTAAAAAAATTAGTAAGACGCGTGAAGATGTACGAAGATTCTACGCTAATTTAGTTTATAATTAATAAACACAAAAATGTTTGTAACTTGGAAACAAGGTCAAATAGAAATACAGAACAAATGTTTATAAAAACTTTTTGTTATTTTTGCGTCTCGAACCTATTTCTGAAATTATATCTACATGTTATGAAACACCCTGTATTGATAACAAAAATTGAAAGTTAAAAAATTAAGAAAATAATTATACAATAATAAAATTAATATAAATATACGTAACTATAGAGCGATTATAAAACTAATAAAAACATAAGTAGTCGTCTTGAGAGATATTTAAGTGTAATATGTAGGTATAATTTGATTTTATCCATGTAATTGAAAAGATATAGATGTAAAAAACGCGAAATAAATCGATAAAAACATCGTGGATCTGAGTGCGCCTCGTCATCGCGTCATATATTATGTATCTGATAGTTTCTCAAACGTGCGATAGATGGCCAGAGGAGCTACATTTATCTTGTATTTAACTTCCGACTCGCAGGATTTATAAGACGCAGCGTGCGACGGGCCGAGCAAAAAGGGTGCTCGCTACTTCAATAGCGCATCGTGTCGATTTAACGTCGGCATGGTGGGGTATGGCCATCAAGACATACCCAGTACGTAATTTTTGGGAACGCGAGGCTGTTGGCTGCCAATAAGCACTGACGCCTCCACCTCATCTTACTCATAAAAAACAAGTAAATGTTTGAGAAATTATCATTGTCTCGTTGTGTGAATCCCAATTCGCCTTTTAAAAGACTATTATTGCGTTAATAAGTGAATAAACACAGTGGAATATATGTTAAATAATGTAACGGACATCTGGTATAAAGAAATACGTAAAGTAAATTTGAAAATATTATGATCTTTTCATGAAAACTTTGATGCAGT